ATCATCATCATCATATCAGCCAGCGGTGATTCCAAACTGATTAGACGATTCAAATCAAGGACATCGAAGAATCAAGCATGCTTGGAATCCGCAACTCAGCAAGCGAGCAAGCGTGCAAACAAGCGCGCAAGCAAGCAATCAAGCGAGCATGCAAGCAAGCAAGCAAGCAAGCACGCAGGCAGAGGCACAGGCACAGGCGTAGGCATAGGAGCTAGGGGGAAGGCTAGGCATAGGCATAGTCATAGGAATTAGGGGGGGCATAGGAATTAGGGGGGGTGCAACGGACCAAATAGTAGAGTTTGAGCTGTGATTCCTATAGGGCAAGCCTATCTGGAGAATTAGCATCATCATGTTCATCACCATCATCATCCTCTGCCTCCTCCTCATCCACGACCTCATCCTCGTCCTCATCAGCATCATCATCAGCATCAGCATCAGCATCATTATCGCCATCATCATCATCATCATCATCATCATCATCATCATCATCATCATCATCATCATCATCATCATCATCATCGTCATCACCGTGGTCGCAATCATCATCAGCAGCATCATCGTTGTCACCATCACCATTATAATCATCATCATCATCCTCATCATCATCAGCATCATCATCCCCCTCATCATCATCATCATCATCATCATCATCATCATCATCATCATCATCATCATCATCGTCAGCATTATCATCACCCATCATCGTCATCATCATAGTCATCATAATCATCATCAGCACAGCATCATCATCAGCTTCATCATCATCAGCATCATCATCAGCATCACCATCATCATCATCATCATCTTCATCATTATCATCATCATCATCATCAGCACCGTCATCATCATCCTCCTCCTCATTCTCGGCTTCACCCTCGTCCTCATCGTCCTCATCTTCACCAGCGTCGTCATCATCACCATCAACGTCATCATCACCATCGTCATCATCATTATTATCATCATCGTCAGCAGCAGCATCACCATCATCATCAGCACCATCACCATCATCATCAGCAGAAGCGTCATCAGCAGCTCTGGAATTGGATATCATACCGAGGGGGGAGGGGAGGACCGGGGCAAACCAGGGCCCGCTGACTCCTCCTCCTCCTCCTCATCCTCCCTCGCCGTCCTCGTCCTACTCTTTCTTTCCCCTCCTCCTAATCCTCCTTCTCCTCGTCCTACTCTTCCTTTCTGCTTCTCCTCATCTACCAAACTATCAAAGCCAAGGTCATCATCATCATCATCATCATCATCATCATCATCATCATCATCATCATCATCATCATCATCATCATCATCATCATATCAGCCAGCGTTGACTCCAGAGTGATTAGGCGATTCAAATCAAGGAAACCGAGGAATCAAGCATGCTTGGAATCCGCAACTCAGCAAGCAAGCAAGCGTGCAAGCAAGCGCGCAAGCAAGCAAGCAAGCGAGCATGCAAGCAAGCAAGCAAGCAAGCAAGCAAGCAGGCCAGCAAGCAGGCATAGGCACAGGCGTAGGCATAGGAGTTAGGGGGTAGGCATAGGCATAAGCATAGGTATAGCCATAGGAATTAGGGGGGGACATAGGAATTAGGGGGGGGCATCGGACCAATTCTTAGTAGGGTTTGAGCTAGGACTCCTACAGAGCAAGCCTATTTGGAGAATCAGCATCATCATCTCAATCACCATCATCATCCTCTGCCTCCTCCTCATCCACGACCTTATCCTCGTCCTCATCCTCTGCCTCCTCCTCCTAATCATCATCATCACCACCATCACCATCATCATAATCATCATAATCATCACATACATCATTAGGTACCATCACCATCATCCTGATCATCACCATCATCACCATCATCACCATCATCACCATCATCACCATCATCATCAGCATAATCTTCACCATCGCCATAGCCATCCTCATCCTCATGCTCCTCCTCCTCATCCTCGGCCTCACTCATCCTCGTCCTCACCATCCTCATCCTCGCCATCATCGTCATGATAATCATCAACATCATCACCACCGCCACCATCACCATCAACATCATCATCGTCATCATCAACATCCTCGTCATAATCGTCATCATCATCATCGCCATCATCAGCATTGTCACTATCATCGTCATCGTCATCGTGATCGCCACCAGCAGCATATTTACGAGCATCGTCATCGTCATCGTTATCGTCATCTTCATTGTCATAAACATATGTATCCTCCCCCTTCTGTCTTCGTCAAGCTCCTCCTGTCTCCTCCTCCTCCTCTGCCTCCTTAACCTCCTCCTCCTTCTCCTTCTCCTCCTCTTCCTCCATCTCCTCCTCCTCCTCCTCCTCCTCCTCCTGCTCCTGCTCCTGCCTCTTCCTGCTCCTGCCTTCTCCTGTCTTCTCCTGCCCGCCTTCTCCTCCCCCTTGCTCCTCCGTTCCCTCCTCGTCTCGATGCCTCGGTGCCTCGATGCCGCGGGCATGGGCGTCCGCTGCGACGCCACCTCTGCCGCCAAGCGGCCGACAGCAGGGCCCTTCGCGCGCTGGGGCGGCCAGAGCCGATCGCCGCCGGGGGCGCGGAGAAGGAGGAGGAGGGGGAAGAGGAGAAGGAGGACGAGGAAGAGGAGGAGGAGGAGGAGGAGGAGGAGGAGGAGGAGGAGGCGAAGGAGGAGGAGGAGGAGGAGGAGGAGGAGGGGGAGGAGGAACAAGTGCGCTCGCGTAATATCGGACATCCTACCCCTCCCTCCCATCCCTTACCATGGCGCAGATCCCCTCTCTACTCGCACAGTCGGATGTCGAGCAGGGCAATGATCCCGGAAGGGTACGCGATGCGTTGTAGAACGCTGCCGACGCAAGAGGCTGCCGCCACGGATCTCCGATCCGTAGTCGGCCACGGACATCAACTGAAATTTCGGACACACCCTGGCAAAGATAGAGTGAAAGCAAGGGGGGGAGGGAGGGAGCTTGAGCGAAACGTCAACGGAAGATCGCAGACGGGCGGCCAGCGACGCTTCCCAAGGAGCAACCCTGTTCGGAGAACGACTTATGCTCCCTTTTTCCAGCTCGGGCAGGCCAGGTGGCGAGGATTCGAGACGCTGCCGACGCAAGAGGCTGCCGCCACGGATCTCCGATCCGTAGGCGGCCACGGACATCAACTGAAATTTCGGACACACCCAAAATGCTGCAAAATGCACAGCTAGACTGGCAACGCCGAAAATACAACAATTGTTAATCAAGCGTCGGAAGACGTTCCGCAGCACGCCCTATCAAAACGGAGAACTGATTAGCCCGGGACCTGGCTTTCTCGTCGGCATAGGCTCTGGCGAGGGTGCTGCAGAGCTTGCGAGGATATGCCTCCGCCAATCTAGTGCGGAACCTGCCCGACGCGTCTTTGCCGGACAGCTCTTGATGCCGCTGCCCAGTGAGGACACAGACGGGCCCTGTACATCTGAATTTGGCCAAAGGTGCCAAGTCGAGGAGAAACGCAGCTATCCTGGTGCTCTTCCTCCAGGGCGTCCCGAACCGGCAGTGCTCGAGCACCTGGGTCGTGACCTGCCGGCGCTGGAGCAGGGACAGCATCGGCGGCAGCTGCCACGCGTAGCTCAGCGCGGGGTTCTCGACGGACCAGGGGACGAAACACTGGCAGCACAGCACGCAGAAGGATATCGTGAGCCGCGCGTACAGGTTGCCCCACTTCACCTTCTGGAAATCGGCGCCCTCGGGATGGAGACTGGGCAGGCCCCAGACGTGCTCCTGGGACCGGAGCCGCGGAGGCCCGTTGGGGCGGTCTCGCGCCCGCGAGAAGGTCTCGCAAGGAAAGCCAGCATGCAGGCCGCAGACGAGCCCCGCCCGTATCCACCCTCGAATGAGGCGGGCGCTCCTGGGGTTGCGCAGGTCGTAGGCGGGGCCGTACAGGATGTCCCACCGCAATGTGGGGACATTTCCCCGCTCCATGGCATCGGACAGGTGGCCCGAGCCCGCGAACAGCTCGAGGAACACGGCGACGGTGGGCGCCCTCAGCGGCCCAAAGACGGCATCCGCCTCCCCCGCAGCGCGTCGGGGAGCTCCTGAGCGGCCGCCGCGGCCGCCCGCTGCACGTCGGGCGGCAGGCGGCGCAAGAGGTCGGCCAGTCGCCCCCCGTGCTCGTAGCGGCGGAGGCTCCGCGCGGACCGCCACCGCCCGCGGCGCTGGATCTCCTCCAGACGTCGGGCGCCGGTCGCGAAGTCGACGCTCGCCCCCGTGTGCCGGAAGCGGTAGGCGTCGAGCGGCCCGAGGGGCCCCAGGCGCCAGGCAGCCGCGGCCTCGTCCAGGGCCCGGCGCAGGGCGCTGGGCGTCAGATCCAGCAAGGGCCCGCCGCCGCGCTCCAGCCCCAGCTGCACCAGGGCGTCTGCGAGCGCCGCCTGCCGGTCGAGGTCGAGGACGATCGTCTGGTCGAACTCCTGGCTCTTGGACGGGGTCCGCATCTCGAACGGGTGGAGCAAGACCGATGTGGGGGTCCACTCGCGAGCTCCGCTGAGGGACCCCGCCACTACGTCGCGGCCCCGTAGCAGGAACGGCTCTCCTGGCCGCAAGTACATCTCCATCATCATGAGAATGGCCAGCGCGTGGGGTCTCAGCCCCTGGCAGATCATCCAGCACGCCAGCAGCGCCACCACGTCGTAGGGCAGGGGCAAGCGGCCCCCTGCTGGGGCAGCGCGGCGCCAGCCTCGCAGACACTGTCGACAGACGGGCATCCGCCCGCCCCCCAACCTGCCCAGGCGCGGCTCGGCCCACTGCACCGACGCCAAGAGCTTCTCGCCCGCGCTCAGCGAGCCGCCCTCCATGAACATGATCTCCATCAGGCCCGCGGTGGCGATGTCCCACTCCTCCTCGGTGTTCGGGTGGTCCCCGCGGGAGTCGCAGAACCTCTGCAGGGCGGCCAGGTAGAGGGAGTACTGGGCCTGCGTCTTCGCCGACACCGAGGCCCTCCGGAGCAGGCTCATCTGGGCCTGCGGGGCCCGCGCCGCCGCCAGCCTGGCAGCGCGCTCCACCCGCACCCGCGCCGCGGCCGCCCGCAGGCCCCCAGTCTCCAGGGGGGCCAAGGCCGGGCGGGAGGCCGACCCCGCACTGGGCGGCGGCGGCTGGCGGCCCGCGGGGGTCCTCGATCTGTCGGACCTGCCGCGCGCCAGCATTGCGACCCTCGCCGGCGGCGGTCGCGAGTTCGCGCCGCAGGCCGGCAAGCGGGTCGCTCGGCGCCGGCCGGCCGCGCGAGGGTCCGTCTGCAGGGTTGAGCTCCGACGCGATCCAGCGCGACCGCAGGAGGCTGCCGGTCCCCAGCAGCAGGGCGCCCAGCCGGCGGGTCACCGAGAGCATGCCATCGCAAGACGACCGTCCCTTCGTGGCGGCCAGGGAGGCCGAGATCGAGTCCCCAATCACGAGCAGCCTCGAGCCCAAGTTGGCGACGGACCTCAGGAGGTGGCGCACCCCGTACAAAAGCGCCTCCGCTTCCAGGGCCGGCATAGACGTCGAGGCCCGTTTCCACCTCTGCCTCCCGCACACCCTCCAGGGAGCCCTCAAGATGATGATGATGATGATGATGAAGCGCCTTGAAAGGTCGGTCCTCCCAAAACACAAACCTGAGAAGCCACCAATACGCCAAGTGCGTACGGTAGAGAAAGAGGGAAACGGGAGGAGAGGCGGGAGAGGAAGGAAGCAAAGGAAAGGTGAAGCCCAGCCCAGGATTGAAACCCATGATACTGAAAGACATTATGAATGACAAACTGTCCAATATCCCAAATGAATCCCACCACAAGGTCTCTCTTGTGTTGAATGAAGATGAGAAACATGAGAAACATAATGTAAGATAATGAAAGAGTTGCCCAAATTGATTAACAAGGTCTTGAGTAACAATTGGAGCCAACCTTGAGAGCACATGGTCCCAAGGTCTCAAGTAAGTAAGAAGTGCAGAAAACTTCCATTAAGTCCCATGAAACTCATTGAACATGAGTAGCAGTCAAGACGGATATATGTACTGAAAGAGAATCTGAAAGATAAACTGAATGTCCCAAGCACGCAATGAACCCAGAAGATACGGAGACATACAAGATGAACTGTCAAAGCAGAATGAGATCCCAACCGTGAGAACCCACACCAGGCATGTCAAGAAATATGGAATATGGTTGAATTCAAACAGGTATGGTGAACGCAAGATGGCTGGAAATGTTTATAACCTTTTGTATTTTGCCAACCAACATCGTAGAAGTACATGCAAGAGAGATTGAGAGAGACTGAGAGTCCTCCAAAAGCCGCAGGCCCATGCACCGCAGACGCCAGGAGATTCAGTCTGAGGGAGTCCCAGGAATGGCCTTCACGGGTACTTCCAACGCCACTTTTCCACGAAGAAATCTCCGTCCCACCAGTAGTCGGACAGGTACCATACAACTGGGTGAGGCCAGCCCGAATCTGGATCGAACCACGTGTCAAAGTACTCCGTATACCATACTTTGGTGTAGACTTTGTCCTCTTCACAGTAGTTCCACATTCCGCCCGATCCGTGTGTCCACTTGAGACGCTTCTTGGCGGCGAGCTTGACTGGGAGGCTGCGTTTAGCCATCCCCTGGAGTTGGATGTTTCCCAGCCGTCTCAGACAAGAGCTCCCGTCAGGATTTGAGGCGAAACGGCTACTGACCAGCAACCAATTCTTTCCAAGGAACTCTACGAACCCTTTCATCGGGACCCCGAACGTTGACATACAGACCATTATAGCGGCTGTCCCGACAAGCTTTGAAAAGCGGGATTTTGCACCAGTCATATGTGAAATGAAGACCACCAAGGCCCGACGGTATAAGAAACCGAGCCGGCAACTTGACCACCCTTTGGAATAGCAGCGTAGAGCAGTATGAAAGTGCCTCAAGATCTCGTTTAGACAGGAAGCAGACTTTGCGTTTAGACCTGCAAAGCTTCCCCTGAAAGATAACGTGAGGGTCCGAAGCCGTGGGATGTAACATACCGAAAGCTTGAGCCCGAGACTGCAGGAGCCGACAGGAGGCATGGGGAGAGAAGGGGGCCCATCCCCCCAAACCTCAAGAGAGGAAAACAGACGCCGAGGCCCAAAACACAGAGGCATCCTGAGGAAGGAAGGATTGTTGCGAAGCCACGGTATCCCTAAGATCGAATGGATCGGGCGGGTCCCAGATAGAATCGCACAAGTGACATCTCCTGGTGTCAGCCAATCCACTAGGTGGTAGGCAAAGGAAGAGAGAGGAGATCCCAAAGGGGTCTCGATTCAGACCCAAATGCAAATTCCGCGAGGCGTCAAATGCCCCGGCTCCATTAGACATCGGTGACACGACCCGCGACTGAGCGAAGCTCCTCCATGGACTTAGACGAGGCCCTGGTAGGTTGTCGTCTTTGAAGATACCTGGCCATTTGTCCCCAAATATTCCACCAGACTGTGTAAATGAAATTCCCAGGGTCCGACCAGCGATTGTCATAGAACACTGCGCCTTTGTATGACATTGTCTTGATCTGTACAAAAGACATAGAGCGCACTGCG